ATAACAATAATTTTTACATATTTTAAAAGTAGAGAAAATATTCTTTAAGAATATACCATGCTTTCTTATAAAGTTAATCAGGAAAAAAAATTGTCAATCGTCTGGAAATTCGGCAATCGCTTTGGAAAATTACGCCATTTTCAAAAAGTCTCGTTTGTCTTTACAACGTAAAATCGATTAAATACCGGCAATCAAGATATAATCTTTTTAGATATTTTAAAAGTAGAGAAAATTTCCAAAAAGATGATATATAGCTTATATACCTTCATGCTACCACAAAATAGATACGGATATCTTATTTTCGCGAAGTCGTGTTATAACGCGCCACCGGTCAATTTGACCGGTACGGAAGTGAAGGGGTTAAAGAAGTGATAGAAGGGCCCTAATATATCGCTTTATTGCAAGGTGATACCCTCAACTTATCTTGCCAAGTTTTTACACATAAACTCAAGAAGCGTTCAGATATTTGAAAAGTGCTGCGAACCTCATGAAATCTTACAAATAAATTACTTAGAGCAATATTTAATGTACTTGACCAGCAAAATATTTAACCTGCCGTCAAACAAATTAAATTTTAGGAATAAAATATTTATAAATAAGTTCACAACACTTTTCACAAACTACATATAGTTTAGAAAAGGATTATAAATTAAACTAAGACTTTCAACTCCGTTATGCCCTTGCAATATTGGAATTTATAGATGACCTCTAAACTGCAAGTATAATTGCTTAAATCATGTGACTTCGACATCACGGGACAAGAAAAAATCTAAATATCTCATAGCATGTAGATTTGAACCACATTACATTTTTTGATATCAGTGAAGTCCTAAAAAGAATCACCCATCCTTATAAAGTATGTATTATTCATCTTAAAAGATCGCAGGTATTTCCATTTGTAACCTTAACTGTGCTGCATGGTGATGTCTTTTTTAATCGAGTCCCCTAGAAGTTCTTAACATACAAACAAACTGCTATTGTTTTAGCATAAGACGCTGTCACTGCCAACATTCGATATAAGATAGTCCATTAGTTGAATGATTGTGAGGATATTGTTCGTAACATCTTCAAACGATAACATATGTGTGCCAGATTGGTTCGGCAATTAACTGTGTATGTAGACCCAAGTATGTGCATCAATGGCTTTCCTAAATTTAAGTGGGGCTTATCCAACTATTTTCAGCAAATGTTGAAAAGTAACGCTGCTTTGGACACTTAAACGTTATCATCCGTATGCCAGAAGATGATACAATAAAAACATAAAATCTTATAATTTGTTTATCTATGGATATACCTGGTATCTATTTGAAATTTATGTAACTATACTCATAATGTATGTTCTAAAGAGTAGTGAAAATTCCGGAACGCAGTGATGATTATGTTTCACGCTATAAACAACATGTCCACCATTTACCGGACAATCCTCGTTTTACAGTATAAATTTGCATAGCTAAGGTGTGACCAGCTATAATAAAACGATTTCAGTTTTAATCTGGTTGTATTTAAGTACCTATTATCTGATAAAACTATTAAGCATGATGGTTGTGTCGCAAAGAGAAGATATCGGCACTTAGGAATATAAAATCTGGTGTCTGTCTTTCATATTGTCTGTCCTTCTGCCATTTCATTTATCCAGAAATTAGTAAGAGGTATAAAGAACTATATGCGGTATATTGCATATATTTGCCCCCACAAAAGTCAAATTTTGAAAACTTCCTGAAATGTGCTGAATTCAAAACATTGTATGAGAAATATAAATTAACAGAAAATATTATAGTGTCAAAGCAGTTGATTCACAATATGTGTTTTTATGACGTCACAAAATAGTCCGATTTTATATCCTTTTTCAGAAAGAGGACAAAATGGACAAAATTTCAACAATTTCAGCTTTAGAATTTATAGATCGCAAGTTTGTTCAGGAATAATATTGACACATTTCATTGATATTATCATTCTACACTTTATATCAAAATATTGATCCTGAACACAGATGCGCTCGATGACTTTTACTCAAAATATCGACGAAAATTGTACTTTTTTCTGTAAAATTCATAAAAAACTGAAATTTACGTCATGTTTGTGACGTCATTATGTACATATTGCGTCATTACTTACGAAAATATTTAGTGCTTTGGAGTCAGCATATACTCCCCTGTTTAAGAACTTAATTAAATATATCTCCATCAAAGTTTGATTTGGGGGGCAAATATTGGTTATTACCGAATAAAGTTCTTTGATATTTGTTTTCACAATGTTAAAATTGAACTTCAATCCACTTTTCAAAATAGTTCATACTGATGCAGAAGAAATACAATACCCGAGAAGGTGAGTTACATATTTTTTTCTGCTACGACGTTAATTTTCGTACTTACAACCAAAGAAAGACATGTTATTGTTTTTGGCTGTGTAAGTAATCATTTAAAGTAGGAATAAAACGATTGATTATTGTTTTACTGATATATACGTCATAGTACATTTCATTGATGGAACACCCACTGACTACAAAACATTAAATTTTCTGTTATTACGTTAAAAAAAAAATTGATTTGTCCTTTGCCTCTGTCTTTTTGTAATACAGTCATAGGCTACATGACGTCATAGTTGAGCGGTTGAGACGTCATAGCTAAGTGAGGTGAAAACACTGTAAATATGGATTTGGCAACATATTTTTCGTAATTCTGACAGTTTTATTCGCTGTCAGAATGATTAACTTATTTCCATCTATCTTATAATAAGTCTAGGAATTTTTTTTTCAACAATCTTCGTTATGGGAAGGGAAATCAAGAGTTTTCCCGCACTTCTGATATTCGTCACATTGTGACAGGATATCATTTTTATTTAATGAATAAATTACAGTATTTCACGGGTAAAAATGTAATAGATATAACTCATATCGAAATACAAACATCATATTGCAAACGATCATACAAGAATTAATAAAACAAGAAAATATAATGTATAAAACTTGGTTAGAACATGGTTTTTAGCTCTAACAGAAGGTACATTTCATTGAGTAGTCTATCGGTTCACTTTTACAAGATAAATCATTATAAGAAAAGTCGACTTTGATGGAAGAAAATGTATTTTTCACAGGGAAAAGTGGCCTACATGATGTTCATGGCATTACCTTTTTATATAAAACATCTGGACATAACAAACTTACAGTATTCAAAATGAAAAGTCTATAAAACAATAAAAAAAAAATAGGAGTGGAGCAAATAAGGACCTCCAAAATATCAGAGGTGAGATCAGATACAGTGTACCATGGAGGAGTGAGCACCCCCGGTCAGAAGGTAATGCTCACTCCTCCATGACACCTGTCTTTGCATAAAATTAAGAAGTGATTTCTTATGACATTGAAAATATCGTTTATCTTCCTCATATGATCGGTCTTCAATGGTTAGTCTTTTGGTCATTTTTTTTATTTCATAAGTATGTTCCAAGATAATTCTCTGACAATTATCTTCACCTAATATCGATTACATCTTCCATGGGACCATGTTCTACAAACTTAAACATTATACATACTATGTTATAAAATCTAACATACTATTTTCAACATTTTGTAGTCCAACCGTAATTAACATGGGAGTTAAAGAAAATAAAATTCATTTCTTTTTCCATTTTTAGATATGGTCCCATTTCATTGAAATCTACTTAAGGATGTTTTGTTCCAAAAGTATTTAAATATGGTCTGATTGTTCTGAAAAAGTCAAGAATTTTGAAAAGCTTACATAACAAACAGAAAAAAAACTAGAAATAAAGAAATTAATAAGAATGTCTCATAATAGTATCTTTTATATTACATTAAGGGACAATAAAAGTACAAGCCCAGTAGCTGAAATGAGCTGTAAGTACAAGTGATTTGAAAATTGATAATCCATAAACCAATTTAAAATTAAGTAAAGTATCTTAATAATTATTTTGAATCTCAAGGTATGATTTCTCTTTGCAATTTCCAATATCTAGTGAACTCAGCTGTATCAATGACATGCTGATCTGAAATTGTATGCAAGGGACACACCATTTTACAGTCTTCTTTTGGAATGTAATTTTTTTCTGGTAAGAAATGTCCTTTGATATCGAAAGCAATCATTTTTTCTTTGTCTATTCGACATCTGAAACCTCTTACGTACTGTACTTTTCTATGAAATGTTCCTGCTAAATTATTTAACAGGTCTTCAATTCTTTCTTGAATTTTGCACGTTTTTGCCTTTTCCAAATCACATTCAGGCATCAGACAGAATACTTGAAGCTGTATTGACTCTTCTGTGACGGACAAAAGGAAGTTGGTTTCCTTACACAAAAACAAAGCGGCGTTTTTGTAGAGGCAAGATGTTCCATGATTTTGTAGTACATTCCAACCATCTTCTTGCATACAAGCAACAACAAGACGGTAAAACAAGAAAAATGGTAGAAATTCAAATTGGTAAACAAGAACAGATGATTTACTCTCAGATTTCTTGATGATATCTAAAAGTTCTTTTTCTATTTCTTTACGATTCATGCACGGAACGTAGTGAGATTCTGAACCAACGGCCAACAAACCGAGTCTTTGCATAGAATAAATAATCGACATTTTATGACATTGCAGATATCGTTTATCTTTCTTATATGATCCATCTTTAATGTTATAATCTTCGTCTTCTTTCTTAAGCCTTTTAAACAACTCATCATCTTTATGTTTCCAAATCTCTATCAGAAGCCGATCTCGCAAATTTCCAGTTTCGTAATATTCATCCCAGTCCCTCTGGGTGACAGGAATACCTTTGAAATGAATTTTATCTGTGATAATATGTTTGAAGGCGTCAATGAACCACTGGACGTCAATAATTACCTCTTCCTCCAGACCATTGTCATTAAAATATAAAGCTTTTCCGGCATCATGATAATACCGCAGCATATCTCCTGTTCCCTTTTCAGCTCCATCTGAACCATCATGTTTTTTAGTAGTAATCTCTGGTACATGAACTTTTGTTGTTATTTTTGAAATCTCCAAGATCCGCTTCGAGTGTTTTTTCTGGTTAATTTCTAATCCAAAGAAAGACCATTCTTTTGGAATGTTCTCGCTCCATCGTTTATTGGAGGCTATGTTGAAGAAGCACATTTCTAAATCATGGAGAGGTAAAGTAAAATCTGCACAATAAACATTTTCGTCAGTGATGTACTGTGGTAAATATGATATCTCTGGAAACTGATGGCGCAAGCTCTCAATCAGTTCCTTTTCATCCTTTATAGATAAAAAAAATATCAAAGTGAATTAAAGTGGTAATTAAATATTGACTGTTTTTCCCGTTCTGTTTAAAAGACATTATATGGCATTGTGATTTTTTTTTATTTATGTTCCTTATAAATCATCATTTCCCAACTACACAGAAAAGATCCTTGAGTGTTACATTTATTGATACCTTCGAAAAAATTATAAATTAGAGAGGGATCTAATTTTATCAAAATGATTGTATTATTGACTTTCTAATACTTGCTTTAATTATATGCCGATAATCCAAACACATATATTTTCATATAATATCGAATTAATCGGTATCATGATACAATGTATTTTATTCAATAAAGACTATAACAGATCACTAATACATTACAATGCAATGTGTTAAAGATTTAAGTTTTTTAAGAATAAAAACAATTATAATGCTGTGTATATGAAAAGTTCACTGGAAAAAATAACTCACCATAAACTGTCTTATTCCTTCTTCCCAATGTGTTGCAACAATTAGAACTACAGGTTTTGTATCTTTTTGGTTGTCAGAACCACAGTAGGTATGTATAGACTTTATCCAGAACACAAAGTAGTCTGTAATAAAGAGAAGAAAATGTTCCTTTTAAAGTTTGTATAAGGAAAAGAAATACTTTTTTTAAAAAAATCAATTTTGGCTTTTCGTTCAGTATAGTTTTTAGTGGACTCATTCTTTTCGAGCTTAATGACAGATGATACAAACAATTTTTTTTTCCTTGAAAAAGATTTAATATCATGTCACAAGTTTAGAAAAGTTGATTGTTCTTATAATTTTTTCTCCTAAGAACTGGAATATGAAAAAGACTTGAAAAATATTAGTGCTACATGTATTTCAATGAAAAAAAAATATAGACAAATTACATTCAGTATAGGTTCACAGGTGAGAACAAATTTTAGAATATATTACATTGGTGCTAAAAGTGTAAAATATACTTAAGAAAAAATATACCAAGTCAGGTAAATTTTATTAGGAAAACCTAAATGGTAAAAATCAGCCTATGTGATATTGCTAATTTTTTGTCATTTTGATCTTCCTCTTAAAATTCACATGGCTTGGTACAATTTTCTAAAGTTTATTTTACACTTTTAGCACCGAGCATTCTAAAATTTGTTTTCACCTGTAAACCTATACTGAATGTGATTTGTCTGTATTTGTGTTTTCATTGAAATATTACTAATATTTTCAAAGTCTTTTTCATTTTCTAGTTCTTAGGAGAAAAATTTCTAAGAACCATCCACTTTTTTTAACTTTTGACATTATATTAAATCTTTTTCAAAGAAAAGAAATTGAAAAAAATGAATATTCTCTTTTAATTGAAACACATGTCCGTTATTTTTAAATCCAATTTCTGATTATTTTTAGCTCATGTTTGGGTATCAACCTTAATATACTGGAAAATAGCAAATCTTGTGATTTCCTGTACTCGTTTTTTCCTTCTGAAGGGTGTTTTTCATGTTTAGAAATTGAAACAAGCCAAAAGGCGAAAAATCTGGCCAATATTGTTAATGTAAAAATAACTGTTTATCACAAAAACTCCTTTACTCTTCGGGGAGTGCGGGTTTGGACACTGTCATGAAGAAATTTTTATGTAGTAGATTCCGATTCTGGATCTTTCCTCTCAATAACCTTTTGATTTTTTGCAAAAAAAAAAAAAAAAAAAAAAACGCTTTCTAAATTCTTCCAGAAATGAAACTGCCTCGCTGAAAACGAATTTGAAAAAAAAATCACTTATATTTAAGAAACGTGCATATAAATCTGTCTTTGTGCTCTTGCAATTCTTTACTTTTTTCGGACCTTTCCTGTTTTTGTCAAGTACATCTTATTGTTAATTTTGTTTCGAGGGTTTTAAGCAACAGATTCAAGTTTCATTATCTGTTTAAATTTAAAACAAACGTGGATAACTACAATTACTGATATTTTATAAAATAATTGTTTAGATATTCTTACATGCTGTTGTTTTCACTCGTTTTTTTTTCAAAACATGGGGTGACCCCGAGTTCTAAGCTTTTTTCTGTCAAACGTTTCTTTAAGGTAAAGATCTATACCATGCTGTAGAAATACCGGACCTACAGATTTTTTTGAAACTTCTCAGAATCTTAACTGAGTATTTGTCCTTTCCAGATGTGTGTAAATTTTGGGGTCAACCGGGCCTCCTTTTCAAAGGATTGTTACTAAAACTAGACATTATCTCGTGAAATTGCGGAAATGCAGTAATTAAGATATTTATGCTAGCTTTCTAAAATTAAAAGCAAAAGAAATTTTTTAACATATGAATTATAGAGAAAATATGCTTGTTTAACGGTTTAATTATTTTTTTAATCTGTTGATCCACTTAATATTACTTTCTAGGGCAAATTAAACATATTTAGTTCAAAATTAAAAAGTTCATTACTAGTAAAAATAAATTGCTCCTTGATATTCTGACTACAGATTTCTTTTTAAAATTAACATGTTATTTTCCAACAGTCTCTCCCTTATTTGGCATACAAATTAAGTGGGGCAGCGGGCATCATACAAGAAATTTTCACATTTTTAAACCAAATTTGCTGAAAAATGATTATTCAAAAAATCTTTTTAACATCTATACTTTTATGAGTTTGGTGCAAAAATCGATTTAAATATTTAAAACTATCGTAATAGAACATTAATACGTCTGGTTTAAATTATAAGTTGAATATTTAATGCAGAGACGGCCAAGAAATCGTTTTCACGAATCACAAGCATAATAGTAATCGGGTTCAATCTTCGAAATATTCTATATACCGTTAATGCGCATTTGTAACGTTATGACGGAAGTGAAAGAAGAAAATACTTTCAGTTTCAACATAGGTCGTTTGGATGCGATTTATTTGATTAAAAATGAGAGAAGTGGCACGCTTTACTATTTTTTGTGTCTATGTAATACATTTGTCGCTATTCATAGAAACAAAAAAGTGGTTTCATTGCCACACCTTTTTAATCTGATCACAGGAAAAGCTCGGGTCTGTCTAAGTCAGATGCAACGTTCTTTATCATGTTTTTATCCATATACAAATAGATAAAAATCTATGAAAGCGGAGATGAATATGTTCAGGGATTCCATTTTGTAATGTCTGATCGAGGTTTTCCGTACTTAACTCAAATTCGTTCAATAAATTCTAAATACAAGCTCTATAGTTGATGACTAGAATGGCATTGAAAACATTTTTACTAAAACTATGTCATTTAATTAGTAAAATATGAACACATTCTATGGTGACATGTTTGATTAATCTTATATGCTCCTCTGTCTAAACTCACTCAACATGCTCAGACAAACCCTTACTTTAATATATATTGTGAGATGTGAGACCATAGCTTCTTATTACAGTATGAATATTATGGTGCTATTATTGAAAATGTGAATCAAGACTAGGAAATTATTGAAAAAGAGAAATAAATGTAACACTTATCCTAAAGATAAGTATGTGGTTTTTGTTTATGTTTCTTTAAAATCTCCCTGAATAAGGTAATAAAATGATTAAATATCTGAAAATAGTTCATAATTAAAAGGGTTAAGTAAGTCACCCTTACACAATAATTTTTTCAGCACTTATGATTTTTTTCTCGTTTCCATAGTATAATTTCTATAGGATGCTTCTTGATTAAAATTTTCATGGCAGATCTAGGGTTGAGTGTGTGTGTGTGTGTGTGTGTGTGTGTGTCCCCTGGACATTGCAGTTATTAAAATATACTAAACCGAGCAGTACAATTCTCTGTCATCCTTGGACTTTCAGTAAGACGTGGTATTCTCTGCACCAGTGTCTTTCAAATGGTGAATAGATTTTAATTGGTTAAGAAATCAATAACATCAAGGACTTTAAATCGCTGTTGACAATGATAATACCTTACTTCTTTCTCATATATGTAATCCTGTTATTTGAAATTGGCTACACTCTTTGACATTTGCCCTTAAGTTCTATCCCGGCCATATATATTTAAAAAATGGATGGAAGCTGTGTAAATTTAAGAGGCTAATTATATAACATCAAGAATATTACGCCTTACTGAAAGTCCAAAAATAACATTGAATTGTAATAAAAGTGACCTTGAACCCCTCCTTGGAAAAACTGCTGATGTAAAATGTTATGAAAAGTCACTGGTATATATAAAAAGTCAACGACTCCCTGAGTAAATAGAATTTTCTATGTTAAAATGATGCATGTATTTTGATATGGATCCAGTGAGTATTGACACAGATTCTCGAACCTGTAATTGTCTCAGCTAATGAACATCATCATAAGTACTGGATATTTAATTCGTATGTATAATTGTATATCAAAAGTAGCTGAGAAATGGTACATACATTATGAACATGGTCTATTCTTTAAAAAAAAACTCTTTCTGTGGCTCTGTGACTAAGTAAAAACATTTAATCAAGACATCCAAGATGGTTCAATTTGACTAGTACTGAAGTTTAGGCAGTTCAATTATACTTCTTCAAATTTTTTTTCTAACCAAATAAAAAAATGATTTTTTTCAGCTTTTTATCATGCTAAAGACACAGAAAAAAATCCTAACTCATAAGTTTGGGAGGGACTCTTCATTTATTTGGGGGAAATGGTTAGATTTGAATTTTGCATGCTGGTCCAATACATTATCTGGCTTTTTGGAACTGTGTTGCACAGTACATTTTGATGTTAAAACAGATAAATGTGTACTAGGTGTATATATATTATTAAGCTCAATATGATATCAAAACTATTATAACATGAAGGAAAAGAAAGATCTAAATAATCACTGGGAAAGTTATGCTATTTTTTTTTATTAAAAGTATGTTGATAAACCAAGTTAACATAAAAAACCCTGATATAATTGTCTCCCCTTTCACTGAAAGTGGGGATACTAAATTAGGTCTATGCATCTGTCTGTGTGTTTTTCTGTCTGTCTGTAACACTTTTGAGAAGCCTTTGAGCTTTTGCATTGAAATTTTACATAGCAAATCTCTGTGCCCCGAGGGAGACCCTTAATGATTTTGTGTAAATATATTAAAGTCGGTTAAAGAGCTCACCACAGCTCATGTTATTTCTGTTGAATTGTATACATGTACAAGTATATATGCCGACTATAAATAAAAATTACTTGACTTGACTTGACTTGTGGTCAAAGGGTAAAAGTAATTATGCAGTAAATTCTGTATGTTTAAAAATTTATTTCTTTTTGAGAAACAAAACACTGTCATAACTTTTATGAGACATTATTACTAATTTTTCATTCAAATAAAAAGTCACAATCTTGACATAAATCCATTAAATCTAAATTGAAATTGCATGGTTATCTTTGTTTTTAATGATTAATGCATGATTAAATCATGCACGAACAACTTAATTATATAATTATAACACTGTACGCACTCTGTTTAACAATTTAAACAGAGTTGAATTTGTCTGATATTTTTATCCTTTACTTATTCCTTTTAAAGTTTTTATATCACCCACTATGATCTCATAGGCATTCCTATTTATCATCTTATACATGCACATGTATTCTCTTCTTTGTTACTGTCATATTGTGGAATGAGATTTCTAAGTTTAAGTCCAACCCCCATTATCATGATTATTACAGTTATACATAAAATTATGATCTAGAATAGTAAATAGTACACCATTGTAAACTAGGTATCCACATCATCTTATTAGCTCTAATATCTATCGCCACACTGTATTCAGGGGTGCTTGAAGACAGAAATACCCCCATCCTCCCTCCCCATCCGATATAGACCTTTTCATGGGTCTGTTCCGCTTATGTTTTTCTCATATTTTATCTTATACATATAGATTGTATGTACCGTAGACGACACATTTGTAATTTTATCATCAATTTGGAAATTGGCTTTAGGAAAATTACTTTAACAAGAGGCCCAAAAGGTTCGAAAATGGTTATGTACTATGTACATGACAAGCATATACGCAAACAATAATGACTTTCGACAAGAGAACCATTTATTTGATACTCAGTCTCTGTATTTTTTCAACTTACAAAGATTCGAACCCAGAACACCTGACGAATGACAGGTGCACCAATACACTACCCACAGCACTACAAATGGTAACTAAAGGTTATTGTGCAGTGCACTACATGTAGCTTTAAAACAGAATTTTCAAAATTTTCAGCACATGTGTGTATTAAGGATTTTTTTTAATGCATCAATGTCCTTTCCTACTTGAATGAAATATTCTGTTTTTTATCAAGAATTATTCAATGTTTCAGTGCAAGGATATACCAAATAACAGAACATTTATATTTGTGCAGTACATGTACCTGTTTTATCTATGATATATACATGTACATTGTAAAAAAAAGTTTTCAAAATTTTTTTTTTCAAATCCCGAGTCAATCCCCAGAGGACGATTTTCGAGGACGACATTTCAATTCAAACAATTGAGAAGAGAAAAACGACTTTTAAAAATCGCAACATTAAAGCAAAGTTGTTAGGTACCTGAATACTTGAGCCGTGGTTCGAAATTTTGGTTATGTACTAGGCCTAGGTACAAACATATAAGCAAACGATAATGACTTTCGACAAGAGAACCATTTATTGTTAGTCTGTATTTCTTCAACTTACAGAGACAAAAAACGACCCGATTGTCGAAATCTTTTAGTTATCTTCATAATCTTATACTTGAGACAATCTCGGAGCATGCCATCTTTGTTGTACCTTCGGTTTGACAAATCATCTAAATTTAAACTCTCCTTCGATCATGCATCCCGGAAATTAACTTAACATCGTATTTTTATGCCTTTTATTTTTGAAAAAAATGTTCCTTTCTTTTCACGGTAAGTGAAATCGACTTCAGACATTTGTGATAGATTAAACGTCGGGCGCGTTTGACATAATAACGTCACTGACGAGAATAACGTCTTATAGCGTTATTTCACGTGGTATGGACAATTACCTTAAAGCAATATGAGCTGCAACTTTGATGTCGGTTTTTTTTTTAATTGCAAAATTGTAAATAAATATTTCAATGACATCAGAAAATAAGGTTGATAAGGTTGATAAACTTCTGTAATTCACATTTGCGATGGAAGAACTATTTATAAGCTTCGATTGAATCAAAATTACATTATTGTCGTTTTGTACATAATGATTTTTTTTATATAAAACTGTATATTACATGTACATTGTATATAGAAGTTCTTCTTCTGCTTCATTTTAGTCTAATTGATCATAAAGGTTTAAGTTATTACCTACAAATTTATCATAATAACACATTTTAATAGGAAAATATTTTTTTTTCTAATGGAGGTATGAAGGTATGAAGAGACCCACGAATTAATATCCACCACGAAATGCAATTTTTCACACTCATTGCTACTGAACATTTTTTCAACCATGAAATTAAATCCCAATGACCCAATGTATTTTCCTCAAACCACGAAAATTTGACCCTTCAAAAATATATAAAACATGGCTCGACTCGGATTTAAACAAAATACAGTTATTATTCATTGTGTTCCAAAACTGAGACCATTATGATGCAAGTATACATCTTTGCTTTGTTCTTACAAATAAATTTCTTGCATTAATGAGAAGTATTTGATTTTTTTTTTCTGTATGATCCCTGTACATGTATTCAAGGTAAAAGCTTACAAAAGAAACAATTAGAAAAATCACGTGCCGGGGCGTGACAAATAGAGAGACAGAAGCGGGGCTTGTAGCACGTGGATTGGCGGAATAAAGAGCATGTTCATATAAGGAATAAATGTCATTTCTTCGATTTCATGACGATGAACAATCGATTGGCTTGCGTGATTATTTTACGCTTAAGCATGTATGCAAATTACCACACAAGCCAATCAATTGATCACATCATGAAATCGACAAATTAGACAGATATTCCTTCACTACATGTAACAAGAAAATAAGTCAAGAATTCAGTGCGTTAATAATACTTTAAAGGTACTTGGACACAGATTCGAATTATACATTTTAAAAGCATTTCACACAAAAATTAATTAAAAATCTTATTTCATTTAAAAGTTATTAAAACTTTAATTTTTTTGGCGGGTTTGATTGACACATCCTTGCACTTTCACAAATTTAACTTTATTCTTAATCCTTAGGAAAAGTGGCATTTTAAATGTGTTTTAATGAGAAATATTAAAACTTTTATCAAGAAAAATAATTTTATTTAGAGTAGAAATGTTAGAAAGCAAAACACCTTCACACGTATCGTCATTTCGAACTAAGAGATACGTACAGAGTTTAGCAAATCGAGCACACTCGTGTTATGTACAGGTTGTTGTAAACAGGGTTCGAGTTCTGTTATTGTTTATATTTTGAATTCACCGGGTGCGTTCAATCGTAAAAGTCTGCTTACCACAACTGCACGAACTGACAATATATTGTGTGTTTGTTTTGCTTTCGAACGTGTCTACTCTGAATTTTCTGGATTATAGTTTAATATTTTTCATTTATACAAAACGAGATTGCCACTTTTCCTAAGGATAAAGAATAAAATTAAATTTGTGAGAGTGCAATGATATGTCAATCAAACCCGCCGAAAAATTTGAAATTTCAATATCTTTTAAACGAAATAAGATTTTTATTTAATTTTTGTGTGAAATGCTATTAAATATATATAAGTCGTAATATAATAGAGAAAATAATAACTTCAAATCTGTGTCCAAGCACCTTTAAGAGATATCAAAAAATGCATGGTGACATGCATTGTTTTATTTCATTGTCATGATTATAAACCTAACTGTAATTGATAATCTGCTTTCGGACCACGTCTTAAAATCAAAGGTAGAAAACGAAAATAGTAGAAAAAAGAAGGACTACGCTCAAGAATATGCAAAATATGCGTCAAAATAAACTTTCAAAACATATATTTTTCTTTTAACTAAAGGAATGATCAACATCTAATCTACAACTTTACTTAGTTACGTGCAATAAAATAGAAGTGTGTATTTACGATGTAGGAATCTGTTTTTTAGGGCGAGGGTCATCACATTTTCTTCAATCTCATTCCTTCATTTCCTACATAATGAGGACGCCCATGTTTTTACTGGCTTTAAACATTGTCAGCGCATGATAGTCTATTGTTCTCCCTTTAATAGTACAAATGTTGGTGTATATTTGCATTGGTAATGTGTTAAAAGATTAATAGACAAACATGAGCAGCTCATGGTTAAAAAAATGCTTCTTCTTACACTCGTGCTCTCTGTTTTAACCAAGGGTTGATACACGTTTAATATTGTAATTTACCAAGTGATATCTTTTCTCATGTAGTTTTGTGATGTTTAACGTCACATGACTTACATGTACAGGTAGTATGTTTAAGGAATGAAGCTTATTTCAACTTTTGTTATACGATATACCATAACTTGGCGAAGCGGTTCATAAAAAATCGTAAACAGCACCATGTCATGTAACAACCTCTTGTAACATATTTTTTTAAATAAGCTTCATTCTTATAATTTAATTTCAATGTAGACAATGAGACAATGAGACAATTTTTCTATTTTTCGACCCTTCGGAAAAAGGCTTCCAATATCACAAATTCTAAAAGTTAACGTCAAGAGGACTAATACGTTTTTGAAGTAACTCATTGTGCCGTAGGCAAATTATACAAAATGGATAAAACAGTTTAACCAATCAAATGACATGTGACAACTAAAATTAAATTATTTTGTGCTAACTGGAATACTGTGCTCGAACATGTTAAATAGTCAGCCATCGATTAAAATATTCTTTAATTACACGGATAGGCTTATACGTTTTAAAGCATTGTAAATATCATGTAAGTGTACCATACAGAATTAAAAGGAATATGGAAAATAGTTATCTCCTATTTTTTTTATCTAGTCTTACATTAGATCCACTCTGACGAGCTCCTACTCCCATACACATATAATGTTCAATCAAGGGCAGGTAAGTGCAAAAAAAAGTTCTCTATATTTGGAAAACTTAATGACAAAAAATATGAAATTAATTATTGCATTAAAGTCTAAACTCAATTTTAATATTTTAATTGGATGTCAAATTGACAGACTTCTATAGTAAATGTATAAAACCTAAATTAGGTTAAGATCTAAAATCAATAGAATCGACCAAAAAGACCCAAAACACAGCGTTAAGTGTAGTCATCCTTTATGAACTGATTGGTCATATAAGTACATAATGTACATGGCCATTCATGAATACAACTCTTCGGGTTTTTGTCCGGTGCACATAGCCATTAGAACAAAAGAAATATTTTTTTGAAAAATTATCTTTTAAACGCGTATGGTACCTTTTAAAAAATTAAATCATGTGTTCAAAAGTAAGGACAGAATTGTTTTTATACCTCCGTAGGTCCATCCAGAGAATACGCTACCATCTTGATCACACACTTTCTTATCCACCTTCTGGTCAAGACGTTTAGAGGCGTCCATCACCACAACATAGAAAGCTCTCCTGGTCAGGTAAATCTGGTGACAGGCGTAGTACGCACACTGTCCTCCAAAGTCAAAGAATGTCAGAGTCTTAGTGCCAACATTTGTAGTATTTACTGTCTCAAAATTCTCCTGACTTTTCCTTGCTAAAAAGAGTCATCAGATATCTCACATTCTATCATTTTTTTTCAAAATATAATACATGATAGAAGCAATAAAATGGCATTTTTCGACATTTTTTTTTATTCAAAGCATTAAAGACAAATTTAATTTATGTTTACTTTTGATTAACCAAGTGCTAAAATTACAATGGTGAAAGTAATTTATGTGCATGGTTACGTGCAAAGCATCAATTCTACTGTCGACAAAACTGTCCACTTAGATTATATCTGTAATTCCAGTTGTTTAAAAATCAGTTTGCATTGATTTACATTGATTTGCAATGTCTTCAAAAAAGACAATCGAGGGTGTTTAGTTTTATTACAAAATATTGAGGGAGAAAGTAAGGAAAAGGTATGTCATATTTTTTGTGTGCAAGAATTGTTTTTTCATTTTCCTCTCTCAGACTAAGTACATGTAGCATCACTTATATATTTTTTACCTTTCAATGATCTTGTTTCATCACATATTTCAAATATTTCCTCATGCACTTCCAATCCTTCAGTAGATTTTACTTCATTAATCTCTTCTTCACTACACCCGAGAAGACGTTTAAGTAGCGTGGTTTTCCCCGCCCCAGCACATCCTACAATCATCCCCCGGGCGTGGTGGACTGTCTGTGTTCCTCTCTTAGCGTACTCCACATACCGCTCTCTGGCCTCCTGGTCCCATCGTAGTACTTCTATAGGGACTCCCACTGTACAATGTGAAAGAAGAAACAATTCACAACAAGAAAGCTACGCATTTCTTTTTACTTCAGTTTCATGGGAAAAACTTGACAGACCTGTACGTCCTAAATGGTGGTGGTCCTTCGGATGAGACCGTGTTAACAGAGGCCCTGTGTCGCAGTAAGGGCTGGCACGAAAAAGACCCCCCCCTGTTAAAGGCCCCAAGTGTCGAGTATAGGACAAAATTTGCAGCTCTCCACCGGCAAATGGTGGCGTCTACATATGAGTGAAAATTCTCGAGAGGGGCATTAAACAATATACAATCAATCAATTATTCAATGTAAATGGAGGTAATATTACTAGAACTTCGAAAAAAAAAATATATTGACTTCCTTTAACATTCTTGATAACTTCATTTTTATGGTGTTCTGATCGATTCATTTACATCTACATGAATTCAACTAAATTGTAACATCATTTTACTAAAATTTATACATAGATACGCATTGCTTTCAGTAGTGTTTTATATATAATATACATGGTTACTGTCTTGAAATATATGCGATATTTGGGTAAGGGTAAGAAAACGTGATAAAGGGTGAGGCTTGTCGAGCCCTCTTATGTTTTTGACCCGAGCCCAAATATCGCTTATACTTCAAGACAGTTATCATGCATTTTGTTTATCCTGCAACAAAATTTAACATTTGAACGTCCAAAACAAGCTATTTTCGACAGATTTAGGCACATCTCTGCAGTTAAAACTATGATGCCATGGCGTAAACATATCAATATTCATGAACACGTGTGTGTTTTTTTTAAATCAAGTTTTCAATTTCATTTTATAAGGCCTACAGTTAAACGCCTGTAGTTATCCGAAAACTCTTTTATTTGACGTTTTGTATAATTTTATTTACCATGTAATGGTTTACAAAATAAAAAAATTAACAATGACACATAAAGTGAGACAAAAATAAAAAAAAAATAACTATAACAAATAAATTGAGACCAAAAAAAATGTTTAACATTTTAAAAAAAATTATATCAGTCGAGAAAATCTAGACGACCGTCGTGTTATATAATAATCCAATTTTACCTCATGGATATTAATTTATCTAATAATCTATATATTGTTATACTAAAAATAATAAACAAATACGCCATAATGTTCTTTATCTGCTTTAAATTACAATTCACATTGGCCTTTAAACATATGAACAGCCCTCCTGAGAAAATCATTTTATGCATTTAAAAAGGAAATAATAAAAAAGAAAAACATGACATAGTTTCATGTAATTTATAACTTTTGAGTAGGAAAAATTTAACAAATTCTTATTATCTTAGAGTGTGCTGCAATTTTAAACACGATTATCGTTTTATGAAATGATTCAACACGTATGTGAAATCACTTAGGAAAATTTAAAAAAAAATAATAAGGGAAGATTAGCCGTGCATGAGCATTAAACGGACTTGCTGCATGTTCTTCAGATCAGTAATTGCTTTACGAAAAATATCTTCAACCTTTAAAAAAATGAATTGATAATATCACATAGGAATAAGTTTTAAAATAAATACAAATGTAAAAGTAACTTAAAACTTCAACCGCGGTTCTCTCAAGGTCCTGTATAAGAATCGAAAAAAAAATGGAGGAAATTGAAGTAATTTCAATTTTAATTCATAAGGTCTAGATTTATCGTAATACCGGTATAATATGAGCGTCGGGAGCAATTAACCTGATATTGAAAGGAAACAAGGCAGTGGAAGTTGACACTGTGTGAAAATTAGCGACATCAATCAACCAAACTTGTAAGAGATTTATTAGGACCCGACACTCCAAACCACACTTTTAGTAGATATGTTTTTTGCATAGAGCAGATTAATATCTGATTTGAATTATGCAAGTAGTTGTAGAGTGTTTCGGCTATTAAGAAGCCTCATCAGGGGTCACGGACATAAATCATGGTGTTTGTTTTAGGTGAGACCGGATTATCTCGTCACCTATATTCTTGTGTTTGCTGTAAGCAATGATTGGTTGAGAATGAAATAAAGTTTTGCATTCTGGATTTCTAAGAATGGTGTTCCAATATTTTAAAATTCGTTTTTTCAGTCCTTTAACGCAAGGGTTAAATTTAGTAATCAGTACTGTAGGGTTACGTAATGACTGTTCTTTAGTCTTTTTGATGATGAATTTTGATCGGTTTGTGTTGACCGTTTCCTTGATAATAGGATCAATTTCCGAAGTAGAGTAGCCTCGCTTTGATAAGTGCGTCTTGAAGTCATTAAGTGTTGCATGTAATATTTCAGGGTCAGTGGTGTTTCTTGCATGTCTAATGCATTCTCCTTTAATGAATCCCTTAAACACAGCTGGGCTATGAGCGCTCTGTCTGTGTAGATACTGAAAGTTATTTGTTGGTTTGATAAACGACTTGATATCAAGTTTGTTAAAATTTTGAAATTTCTGTCCTTTATAAACTGTAGTATCAAGGAAGTTGACAGCAGATGGAGAAATTTCAAATGTAAATCTTAGATGCTTGTGACAGTAATTGCCGATATTAAAGAATTCTTCTATCTCTGGTTGCGTTCCATTGAATATTATGAAACCGTCATCACGGTATCTACCGTGGAAGACAATTTTGCTGGCATGACGAAATTGTGCCATTATATGCTTTGTGATTTGATACATTCTGATGTCACAGATCTCTGGACTGGGGACTGCCCCCATACTTGCTCCTATTATTTGTTTGTAATATTTTCCGTCGAATTCAAAGTAATTGTTTTCCAAGACGCATTTCAGTAAGAAGTTTAGATCCTCAGGGTCCGGATATGGAATGTCTAATTGCATTTTATTGGCCTGTGTGTAAGCCTCATTTACTGATGAGAGAAGTTCGTTGAATTCCATGTTTGTGTACATGCTCGTCACATCATAAGTAATTAATAATGCGTTTGTTGGCAATGTGAGGCCTTCGAGTGTGAAAATTAGCGACATCAATCAACCAAACTTGTAAGAGATTTATTAGGACCCGACACTCCAAACCACACTTTAAGTAGATATGTTTTTTGCATAGAGCAGATTAATATCTGATTTGAATTATGCAAGTAGTTGTAGAGTGTTTCGGCTATTAAGAAGCCTCATCAGGGGTCACGGACATAAATCATGGTGTTTGTTTTAGGTGAGACCGGATTATCTCGTCACCTATATTCTTGTGTTTGCTGGAAGCAATGATTGGTTGAGAATGAAATAAAGTTTTGCATTCTGGATTTCTAAGAATGGTGTTCCAATATTTTAGAATTCGTTTTTTCAGTCCTCTAACGCAAGGGTTAAATTTAGTAACCAGTACTGTAGGGTTACGTAATGACTGTTCTTTAGTCTTTTTGATGATGAGTTTTGATCGGTTTGTGTTGACCGTTTCCTTGATAATAGGATCAATTTCCGAAGTAGAGTAGCCTCGCTTTGATAAGTGCGTCTTGAAGTCATTGAGTGTTGCATGTAATATTTCAGGGTCAGTGGTGTTTCTTGCATGTCTAATGCATTCTCCTTTAATGAATCCTTTAAACACAGCTGGGCTATGAGCGCTCTGTCTGTGTAGATACTGAAAGTTATTTGTTGGTTTGATAAACGACTTGATATCAAGTTTGTTAACATTTTGAAATTTCTGTCCTTTATAAACTGTAGTATCAAGGAAGTTGACAGCAGATGGAGAAATTTCAAATGTAAATCTTAGATGCTTGTGACAGTGATTGCCGATATTAAAGAATTCTTCTATCTCTGGTTGCGTTCCATTCAATATTATGAAACCGTCATCACGGTATCTGCCGTGGAAGACAATTTTGCTGGCATGACGAAATTGTGCCATTATATGCTTTGTGATTTGATACATTCTGATGTCACAGATCTCTAGACCGGGGACTGCCCTCATACTTGCTCCTATTATTTGTTTGTAATATTTTCCGTCGAATTCAAAGTAATTGTTTTCCAAGACGCATTTCAGTAAGAAGTTTAGATCCCCAGGGTCCGGATATGGAATGTCTAATTGCGTTTTATTGGCCTGTGTGTAAGCCTCATTTACTGATGAGAGAAGTTCGTTGAATTCCATGTTTGTGTACATGCTCGTCATATCATAAGTAATTAATAATGCGTTTGTTGGCAACGTGAGGCCTTCGATTTTGGTGATGAAGTCCGTAGTGTCTTTGATATAAGTTGATTGTTTTTGTACAATGGGTACAAGAAAGTAATCGCAATATTGTCCTATTTTCCTCGTTGGCGTATCGCATTGCGAGATAATTGGTCTACCAGGTGGTAATTTCCTAATGCTGCACTGACTGTTTATTAGAGCATTGTAAATGTTTGCTGGTATTTTGTGGGTTTTCGGTAAAAGGTACAAATGCCCACATTTGAGTGAAGGTTTTTTGTCATTAAGAAATTTGTAAGTTTCTTTGTCCAATGACCCGTTTGAATGCATTGCAGCAAGTTTATTTTGAATGTTTTCATGCAGTTTGAGCATGTTGGGTTCAGATACTTGCATATAGTGTTTAGATTGCAGTTGGCTTTGTGCTTCTAAGACATACTGGTCTTTGTTCATGATGACAATTGTGTTGCTTTTATCTGCTTTTTTAATAACAATGTCGTTGTTATTTTTAAGAGATAAAATAGCTTCTCTTTCAGCATTTGAGATGTTTGATCTCTTTTTTGCAATTTCCAAAGAGGAAAGTTCCAATTTTGTTTTATCTATATATTCCTCGAGTTGTGTGTGTGAAAATTAGCAACATCAATCAACCAAACTTGTAAGAGATTTATTAGGACCCGACACTCCAAACCACACTTTTAGTAGATATGTTTTTTGCATAGAGCAGATTAATATCTGATTTGAATTATGCAAGTAGTTGTAGAGTGTTTCGGCTATTAAGAAGCCTCATCAGGGGTCACGGACATAAATCATGGAGACGACAATGCCACTCACCCCTTTAACACAAAATCTGGCTACAAACCGCCATTTTCATGCAGCGAACTCGAGGAATATATAGATAAAACCAAATTGGAACTTTCCTCCTTGGAAATTG